CTAAAAATGTGTATCAATTTGGCTAAGCCATGATTCCCAGTAGTGTGTGATTGTCCACCATTTTGTCATCTGATGTGATTTTCCTGTGTGTTGTAAATCCTACCCCTATGATGTTAATGAGGCAGGATTTGAGGCAGTTATGTTAATGAGGCAAGACTCAATCTACAAGATTAGGTTCTGTTTTAAGCCAATCTCTTTTGAGATGTAAAAGAGAGAAGTGAGCAGAGAGACAGTGGGACCTCATACCACCAAGAAACAAGAGCCAGGAGAATAGCGCATCCTTTGGCCCAGGGGTCCCTATGCTGAGAAGCTCCTAGACCAGAGGAAGATTGATGTCAAGGACCTTCCTCCAGAGCTGACAGAGAGTGAAAGCCTCCCCCTGGAGCTGGCACCCTGAATTCAGACTTTTATCCTCCTAGACTGTGAGAGAATGAACTTCTGTTTGTTAAAGCCATCCACTTGTGGTATTTCTGTTATAGCAGCACTAGATGACTAAGACAGGTGGCTAGTGGAGTCTGTAGTCAGGCTCTTTCTCTATCTGGAGAAGGAAATTGAAATGCTTACCTGTGACTATGACCCAAGACAACCTGGCTACCTAAGGCTATTGGATTATCTTTGGACATTTCCCAAACTGTTGTTTTTAGTTGCCAATGCGTCAGTTCTGACTCATGGTGACCCCATGTACAACAGAACGAAACGGTCCTATACCATCTTCACAACCATTAGCATGTTTGAGTCTATTGTTGTGGCCACTGTGTATTTTGAGTGCCTTCCAACCTAGAGGCTCATCTTCTAGCACTATATCAGACAATGTTCTGTTGTGATCCATAGGGTTTTCATTGAATAATTTTTGGAAATAGATCACCTGGCCTTTCTTCCTAATCTTAGTTTGGAGGCTCTGCTGAAACCTGTCCACCATGGGTGACCCCGCTGGTATTTGAAATACCGGTGATGTAGCTTCCAGCATCATAGCAACATGAAAGCCACCCCAGTACGACAAACTGACAGATGGGTGGTGATTTTCCTAAATGGAGGACCTTTAAACATAGGGGTCAAATCTCTCCTGGATTGTTTCGATATGCACAAGCAAGATTAATCCAAATTTTTTTTTTT